GTCCAAGCTACTTCCCACTTCCAAGGTTCTCGTGACCTTTCAAAGGTGTTCTTCAAAACAAAAACAACATCCCTGCTATCAAGTCAAAAGTCAATGTCCACTCATAACAACTCTATTCAACAGTGTAGAATTAGCCCTGAGTTTCTGAGGCTGTAACTATGTATGTGAGTAGAAAACCCCTTAGTGACATGCCAATGATAATAAGTCTCTCAGTTAAAATATCATACGGCTTAGTCCCTGGCATATCAGTTAGGAGACCATGGGAAATTTTTAATTACCAGATAGCCATTTGACACTCTGCCTGTAACTGCTTTGTTTAACTAAAACATGCTACAGCATCACGGTGTCTGACGTTCCTTAGGCTAAGATATAGAAACAAACATGCACATAAATAGATATCCTTAAAACACCAATGAGAATTGGATTTTCCATTTTGGGACTTCAATTTGATTTTCTACTATTTTTTTTTTTCTTACTCAATATCATCAATTTTGAGACTACTTAGGAAATAAACCTAATAGTACTGAATGAAGTGCTTTAGTGGCACAATGGGTTAAACATTGGTCGGTTTACCTAAAAGTCAGTGATTCAAACCTACCAATTTCTCTGCAGGAGAGAAATGAGTGAGTCCCCTCTGTAAAAACGTGCAGCCTTAAACAGTCCGGAGCAGTTCTACTATGTCCTGTAGGGTAGCGAGGAGTCAAAGTTTGAATTTTTGCAGTATCTATACATTGAATAGCTACAATGAAGGCAGTACACTAATTAAACACCTTCAGAATTTACTATCATTTGTTTTCCCCTCAGTAACTACCAGTTCTTATTTACCACAAGCTCGAACTGAGTTCTGAAGCTTGCATTATTTTGTTGTTTTTTGAAAAAATTATCTAAACCCACCCTAGCCCACCCATTGCCGTCAGGTACCTCTCAACTCACAGGGATCCTAAAAGTCAGAGTAGACCGGCCCCACTGAGTTTCCAAGGCTGCCAATCTTTATAGAAGTAGACTGCCACCTCTTTATCCTGCCGTGACTGTGCAACTGCTCACCTTTTAGTTACCAGACAAGCTCTTTAACACTGTGCCACCAGGGATCCTTTCAATGACTTAGGGAAAAAGGAGCAAACTTACTATGATGGAGTTGATTCTGACTCAGAGCGACCCTGTGGCGGGTTTAAGAGGCTGTGGGATGGCCTCGTCCTGCGCCCTCCAAGTGGCTAAGAAGTTCAAAGGGCTGACCTTGCTGTGAGCAGGCAAATGTTCAACCCACAGCACCACCAGGCCCCCCAATGACCCATCATCAACATGGTCAAAGCTATTGTTATCTCCAAGCATGTTTAGTAAACAGCAAATGTCAGAATGGTTAGGTTTTAGAAATTTTTCATGAATGTTTTTACATGCACAAATGATAACATATACCGTTCATATCACTATATTAAGCTTTTAAAAGCCAAAGAGTTTCAACATAAATGGTCTCAGGTTAAAAATGGCATCTTAATTAGCCTCACTGGAATGGAGCGTATGGACTAAGTATTTAGACTGGTGAAAAACTGTCACACTCATATTTCATAACAGTACTGAGCCACATTGCATGCTATCATGCATATCATATTACTTTAGATTGCTATAATTTCATAATGGAAATATATGTTGGGTGACAAAAATTACTACGACATTTGTAAAAAAGTCTGAGCTCCTAGATGAATATTTCTATCATTGTGTTCAAATCACTGCAATCTACTCAAGTCTGACCCATAACAACCCTACAGGTGGGTTTCTGAGACTGTGTTTTTACAGGAGTAGAAAGCCTCATTTTCTTCCTGCAGAGCAGCTGGTGGTTTTGAACTATTGGCCCAATGCATAACCCACTATGCTACTAAATGAATATCTCTGAGATAACTATAATAGAGTTTTAATTTAAAGAGCAGTTTAAAAATGTACATCCATTTACCTAGATTTGGAGATCTTTGCAATTTTAAGACTAAAGATAGAAAAAATAGAACAGTTTGCCTCTTCACCATTATTTTGCTATTACATTTTTAATACACATTTTCAGAAATTGCATTTCAATTCAAAAGGAATATTTTGGGTTTAATTAGAACATAGTTTTAGGACCAGAGTGGTAAATGTTTGTTATAACATGGCAGTGCTGTGACATGGCCAAGCTTTGTTATTAGCATTATATTTTCACCAGAGAATACTGAGTGAAAATAATAATTAAATATTATTTTAATGCAGTATTATAAACCTTTAAAAAATGTTTCACCTGAAATCAGATGTTAGCACTTCTTTTCAAGGTGCATGATTAAAGGTCATATAAATTAAGTAATGTAGACACTAATGTGTAATAATAAATAACCTGGAAAGCTCTTTACTGGACCATAAATATTGTTATAGTAATCACAGAAGTAAAGTGTTGTTATTGGAGTTGATTGTTCAGCTACTAATTTATTCTCATGTATGTGTAACTAAAGATCGCCATTGATTAAAAAGAGGAAATGCAAATGCCAGTGATTCATAGTCTTTAGGACATGTCTAGCCATTTTTAGACAGTGCCATTTGCTTAAAGACTTCAGGCACAAACTGCAGGCGCAGGAACAGATTGCATAAGATGGCACGTGCTTGCTGCAACTGTATGCATGTTATTGGATTTTTTAAAACAACCCATAGCGATGAATAATTTAGGACTTAATAAAATATTCAATCTGACTGATCCATTGGTTTAATTTTAAAAGAAACGCAACTAATAAACGGAGTTACATGTCCTGATCAAATTCCAAACAGTAATGCGTGTAAATTGCAACCCACACATTGGGAAAAGACCAATGTCTAAAATGATATATTAGATAGATGATCACCTTTGGCTGGGGTGGGGGGAGGGGGGTGCAAAGGAACTTGTCAGTGTTAACAATGGCTTCAATAAGTTTGCTGGAAGTTTAATTGTTTAGAGTCATCAGGTAAGCTGCACTCTGCCTTCTAGAGGGAGCAGGGAATAAATTAGAGTGGTTGTCAAGTTTAACAACAAGAGCTCATGCAAAATGGTCCGTTTCTTCTCTAAGAGCCCTTGTCATTTCTCCCCGCAGGCTGTCCTGAAAGTGGGAAATCTAGAAGAACATGGAGTACACTGTTGTCGGAGCATTGTTCAGAAGGATCTGAACCGAAAGCTTAGACTGCGTCTCCATCCTCGGATTGTCCAGCGGGGTAAGCAGTGCCCTAGGCAAGGGTATCTCTAGGCCGTCCAGCCTCAGACTGCGGGGAGCAGGCACTCACCCCGGCGCCCCTAGGATCAGCAACCAGACCCCGACAGGCAAGCGCGACCGCGGAAGCTAGATGCGCTTTCTCCGCCACCACCCCGCCGCCCCCCACCTCGGTGGGGGACAGATGGTGGAGGCCGTGGCACCGCGTAGGTGCTTGGGAGTGGGTGAGTGAGTGTGTGTTCTTGTCTGAGGTGGGAGAGGAGGAGAGGAGAGTGCTGGCGGTCGCCCCTCTCCTCTTTCTGCTAAGGATCAAAGTGCAGAAGGAATCCAGACAGGAAATCAGAGGGGGGGAAATAGAGCAATGGGAGCGTGATCTTTTTCCTATCACGGGCGAGCGACTACAGCGCCTAGTTACTATTCCTTACCCTTCAGTGGAGTGGCTGCCGCTGCCTGATCCCTGGAAGGACACTTGGTAAAGGCAGGCGAGGCAGACTCCGACCCACGCCCAGGCTCTGGGGAAACCGGCTCTGAGCCTGGGAGATTGTGGAAGACCAGGGAAGGCGCAGCCAGCGAGCCCTGCTAGCGGGGCAGCCAGGCTATCTGGCCAGCGGCTTCCGACTTCTTGGGCAAACAGGAGTCCCCGATTTTCCTCTAAGACAAATAGAAGGATAAGGTGCAGGGATGCATGGTGTGGAATATTTATGCAGTGTCTCTCTAATCTCAAGTGGATTTGAGTCAACGCTTTCTTATATCCAAGAACTCGTTTTAGAGGCACGGCATTTTAAAACCTTGTAGTGCACTCCACTCTACCTGAAACAGTCTGCGGAGGGTTTTAATACCCGCGGAACCCTTAGCAGGACCCCCCGCGAGCTACATCGCTGGGGAGGGGGGTGCGCAGCTCTCCCACTAGGTCCCCTTGCCCTTTAGCCTAGGCTTGCCTCAAAGCGCAAGCCGGGGCTAGGCTTGTTTTGACAAGCCACACCTTGCAGAGGGCCTGGAAGTCACCTGTACAACTCAGCAAACGACGGGTCAAAGTCTAATTTTTTTTTAAAGACTGGATTATGAATTTCATGCAAGTCATGGGAACCAGGATCAGTCCAGCTCCTGACAACTTTTTTGCTCCTTGGCGGGGGCGGGGGCGCAAGGTTTGTTCTGCCTTGCTCTTTACCAGTAGTTGCTGAGAGAGAGAGAGAGAAATTCCGAGGCCCCTTGGGGCTCCTTGGGTTATCGTGTGGCCAGTGCGGAGAGCGCGGGATGGAGGAGCAGGAGAAAGGTGAAGAGCTGCCTGAGTTGACATCTCACCAGTGTCCCCCAACTCCCAGCCCCAGTTGGCAGCAGATCAGCTCCAAATCCGGGCTGGAGAACAGCGCCCAGGGACCCAGGGCTCTGCAGCTCTCCAGTCCCTGCCCATCAACATCACATCAGGGAGGCACTCGCTTCCCGCTCCGCACCCAGGAGCCCTTGTGGCGCGCGCGAGGTGCCCTGCTGGCCGTGCTCCCGGAGGGTTCGAGCGGCGACCCCTCAGCAGAGAAAGCCGCAGAGTAGATGGTCTCCCAAGCGCGCAGCCCCTTCTGGTGTCAATGCCACCCCCACGGCCTCCAACCGGCGCACGGCTCAGCCCCGAGCACTCCGCTCAGACTTTGCGAGCACTTTCCTGGGGTCCCCAGGGTGCGCCTCCACCTCCCAGCTGCCCGCCGCGCGCCACACTCCTGGCGCGCCCAGGAGACCGATGCCGGCACCCAAGTGGCGTTTCCCACAGGACCACCGCTGCCCTCCCGGACCCCAGGCGCTCGGGTCCCGCCGGCTCACCTTTGCAGAACAGGGGTACTCCAAGGCTGAGCCAGACCACGAGCCAGGAGGCCGCCGAGCGCTTCATGGTCCCGTCTCCGGAACGAGACCCCAGCGGGCCAGGGAGTCGGCGCGGAGGGAGGGCGGTGGTCGCCTGGGTGACCGGCGGGGCAGTGGCACAAGCCCGCCCCAGGGAGCGACTTCAGGAGGACGTCTTCCCCGCAGCTCTTCCCGGAGCAAATTCTAGGAGAGGGCGAGACAGAGCGGTGGCCAATCTTCCCTCCCCCTTGGCCAGCACGCCTGCCCACGG